AAAAAACAAACAAACAAATCAACCAAAACACAACACCCAACCACACAACACAACCACCAAACCACAACAAAAAAAAACCAAACACAACAACACCAAAACTAACAAACAAACAAACAAACCTCAAAGAAATAAAACCCCAACCACACACAACAACCCACCAAAAACAAACCTAACCAAGAGAATTACTCCCCACTAATCATCATATCACATCATAAATCACTTAGATATATACCAAATATGTATATTTACTTACGGAAAATTGGTCCTGAAACATTACAACCTCACGTTGTGTCAATTAGTTTCACACCGACTCTGAAAGTTTTCTGAAGAGGTCGATTTCGCGTTTTGTTCAACTGACACTGAGAATAAAAGAATTTTTACATTAAAAAAATAAAATAACATCGAACCAACTGTAAGAAATAAAACTGCAGTTCCCCTCTACACAGACCACTAGGGAGGCTGCTCCAGCACGTGAGACAAAATACACTCAATAAGTAATCCACCAAATTAAAGAATACCACAACTTACAGCAGACAAACTAAACAATGATTACAAGACCCTTTTCGGTCTCTTAAGCTAATTTCCACGTCCCCATGACAACTGTAACGCCCTTATACCACACCCATCACCCCTTTAAAATCATAATACAATTAAAGGCCTTAACAATTAATGCCGTTTCCTATCGAGTTAATATAATGCAGACATCCATGCCCACTATCTATCCAAACATGTTATATTAACAACACTATATATATGTGATGCATTTCAAACAGTTCACTCACTCATCTGCCATCTTAGCTGCAGGATCCTGATGTTACCTGGTAGAAAAACACAAAAGACTCCATTAAAATTACTTCTTTCTTTTAACTTTTGATGTTTAATGATGAAACAAGGATGTTTCTCAAACATTTTAAACATATGGTACATGTGACACACAAAATATACATACTTTTATATGTTTTACTGCAGTGGAAATGGTCCACCAGTGCGTACATCGGTATTTTTGCTTATTTTTTTGTAATTTCTTGTGATGTTGAAATGATTCAGATCCCTAAAATCAGTTCATCCTAAGCTAAAAGGTTATGTGAGTCAATAAACCATAATAATTGTAAAAAGTATTGAAATTGAGCTTATAAATTAAAAACATTATATACAAAAATTTGACCACTTTCATACAAATTTTGACAAAGTGATTCAAAAGATTTCTGAATGTCGAAACATGAACAACATATTTCTGGATATTTTTAAAGGGTTAAAAAGCAGGTATGTTTTTATTACTTTGTCCACGTATGAAGTGAAACCTCCAGGCATATATCAATAGGAAAGATTAAAAACAAAGCCCCTCTAAATATTTACTTTCAGCTGTTCTGTTTCAGCCTCCTCTTCCTCCTCCTCCTACTCGTTCCCACTGTAGAAGCTCACCTGTCTCGTATTTCGTGTTTTGGCTCACTATGTTTATTCTATCTTGAGACGTCATGTTAATTCCAGGAAATTTCGCGGAACTGAACTTTGTAACCGGGGCCGTGTTAATGCCTTTGAGGACCACGCCGCTATTATTAGCAGCACGGCTCTGGGGATACTGGTCCAACACTGGCAGTTAAATATCTCCACTGCTATTGGATGGATTGAAATTAAATGTTCTTTTAGTGCCACCAACAGGTCAAAATGTATATTTTTTTGTCCAACTTTCCAACTTCATGACAGGAAACCTCTGAAACCGACCGAGTTGAATTACTTTGAATTACTAAAAGGTAGCATTATAGCAAGCTAAATGGTACATATTAATAAAGTATATCTATATATTAAGTGTTAGACTTCAGCATGTTAGTGTAACATGCTATTAGCAGGTAAACGTTGACACTTTTCCAAAACTCAAGTTCATGACACCTAATGCTAACATGACATGTTGTGTATAATTAGCATTATAGCCGCTAATCATTGCAACTGACTTTTTTTATCTTGTTGCATCTGTTACTCTCTCCACTATTAATAATCCTTATTTGACATTATGTACATTAAATTTATGTTTTAAGATTTAATTTCTCACCATTCAGGGAGCGTTTTGTTTAAAGTAAAGCTAACATGCTAATTGTTAACACAATCTAAATATTGCACATTAGCGTAACATGCTAAATGTATGTGCTGCATTTTAAAACATTACCGTGCTAAATAAAGGTATGGGAACATGTTGAATGCTTCATATTAAGTGTCAGACTTTAGCATGTTGGTGTAACGAGTTATTAGCAGGTCAGATATTTCCAAAACTGCACTTCATGACATGTCTAATGTTAACATACCATGCTAACGCCAGGAGGCTAATGTGTTAAATGTTAGTAAGAAAAATTCTTGCAAATTAACATGATAACAAGCTAATGTACTACATTAGGATTTCTGGTATATAATTAGTTACTAATAATTACTATTTCGACTATTAATAATCTTTATGTTACATTAATACGTTGTCTAAAATATTATAGGTTATGTGTTTTAAGCTTTTGATTTTGTTAATTCGGTATTAAAAATCATGTCTTCAGCAAGTAAGTGATCGATTGATTTAAAAGTCTACACTGTATCAGAAAAGAACAATTACATAATTTAAGAAATGGCAGACGTTCACTTTGATGGACAAGTTAAATAAACCAAATCTGGGTTTCACATTATCCTGAATCTGATATAAACCCGCCTGGAAGGTGAGAACACATCCATCCCTCTTAAGCTCTCTACAAGATGATTTGGAGAAATGTTTGGCAGTGATGAACGAGTATGTGTGATATGTAGTCCAAGCTATGGGCTTAATTCGATCCTCTGTGTCTCATTTACTCTCAGTGCTGTCCTCGTACCAAACAGCCGGCATTGAATAACTAAAAACAACAGTCTCCAGCCTGAACCACAACCTAGAACAACAGTATTCATGTGGCCGGTTTCAACCTCCCCATCGCCGCTGATATATTTTTAACTTTAGGAAATTCCATTCACCACCATTGTGTTGGGATTAAAGCAGAAATCTCAGCGAGCCGAGCGGATTAGCAGCCAAATAAAACCAAAACTATCTGCCAGTGATGGAAGAGTAAAAGTACTCCTTCAATATAACATCATACTTTTACAAGTTCTACATTCAAACTCTTTATTAACTCTTTTAAACTCAGAAATACTTTAATAATCCCAGGGGGAAATTACTTAATTACTTATTAATAATCAGAATAAACTGATGACTGGATTCCTTAAATTAACTTCGAGCCTAATGCTTTACACATTATTGTCTTGTTTAAACAATGCATACTAGTGTAACATGTATAAGCTGTCTTTTGAAATATTGCCATGCTAAATGAAGGTATGGTAATATGTTCAATGTTATCTAAAATTTAGCATTATAGCAAGATAAATGTTGCATATTATCAGATTTTATCAGATGAGCAGGTCAAAATGTATATTTTTCCAAAACTAACACGAGCATGCTAATGAAAAAACAAATTCCTACTTAAATAGAACTAAATTAACGTTACCATACATTTTTAGATTGTTGATGCATCACTGTTAGAGCAGAATTTGTAGCTGTTCCAGCTGTAACTAGTTTAAACATCTATTTTTATACACAGCTAGTTTAATCCAGTGGTTTACAACATAGGGGTCGGGCCCATCCATCTTTTCCTCTTTGAAATGTACGTAAATTAAACCATAAGAGAAGTTTTAGGGCTGTGTATTGATTAAAAGCTAGCGATACGTATTAACGTATTAAGGGTCACAATGTTTTTTATCTAATTTCTTTGGAAAACTGTCATAAAGAACATAAGAAAATAGTTTTTAATGCAAACAGATCATCACAGCCCTCAGTTTACAGCACTGAGTTTAATGAGTTTAGGGGCGAAATTGGTTAAAACTGACGCTCACAGTTCATAAACATCTGATTTTGTTGTAAATTACAACACAAAAGTTTATATTTACTGGATTTTACTTTATAAACGTGTTTTACTGTCAGATAATCTCCTCTGAATTGTAGAAGAGTGGCACTCGAGTAAATGCACTCAGTTACTTCCCACCGCTGCTTGTCGGCATGAACAGAAACCACCGGACTGGGCAAACGGCCCTTTAGGCGCCCGACTGGAGGACTTTGAGGCCTCCTCCAGAGCTACTCGGAGGGCCACATAGCTGTTTGTTTAGGAGCTGTGATGCAGCAGTGGATTAAGACTCTATTCCTGGAGCCACAGCTGTTCCTAGCCTCTTCATTATGGAGGAGGAGAATAAAATGACAGCAAGCTCGTCTTGAAAGAAAAGACGTCTGACAACCACTGCAGGCATCCTTAAACACATAGCTGGCCCGGGAACAAATGTCCGTCGTCTGTGGACCAATAATAGGCAACGGAGGGGGGTATCTCCGGGGCTGACAATGTATTTTAGGACACTTGAAACCCAGAGGGCATAACAACATGTTACTCTGGAGATGGAATAATATCTGCAGGGTTAAATTTGGGGCGCTGATTTTTTGTCTTGAGTGTGTGTGCGGGTTGGGGATTGTCTCTGGAGGGAGGGTAGGTAGGGTTCGCAGTAACCCAACACCACAGAACATCCCTCGGATGGACAAGACGTTAGAGCGTATCGCAAAAATAACTCGCTGCTCAGATGCTTGTACAGTTCATCTGCTTCACGCTGAGAAAAAGACAGGACAGGAAGGTAGAGCAGCGTTTAAATCGCACAAAAAAGGAAATGATTTAAAGGAAAACTTCATCGTTCAGGTTCGTAAAAATGTCAAAAACCGAAGCAGAATCTGTCATAAAAGCTCCTGTATTTAAAAACTAGTTTGTAAAATAAACTTTAATGTTGCTTAAACGCAACCGAAACAAAATCTTTGACAGAATAAACCTTTAATGTTGCTTTAAGCGTTTGAATGCGTGTGAAGAAAAACAGGCTAAATTTGGTGAGCGCGGATTAAAGTGAAGTGTACAGTGAAGAGACTGAGGTTGGCAGCCGCGGCAGATTAGACTGGGTTTTCCTCCGAACCCCTCGGCGCTGACAGGAGGATAAACACTGAGGGATCGATTTCCAAGTTCATGCCTTGTAGTGGTGTTGCCTTTCAGCGTGCCACATCACCAGACCGTATATCATCGGTTTGCCGCCGCAGCACAGCCGACCGCATATCCAAAGAGCTGCTAAAACAACACTCGTTTAAAACCCTTAGAAATCCCGAAAACACTTTTTGAACAATTTCACCTGATGTAACATCATCAAAACATGCCACAATTATTAAATTCCTAGTTAAGAATTCACAAAAACATCAAAACAACCATACATCTTTGACTTTTAAACTGATCAAACTAACTAAAAACACTTGAATCGAACCCCAACACATCCTCTCGACCAAATATAATGCAAAAAGCTAAAAAATATACTGATTTTTACAACCTTCCTCTAAACAAACAAAAACTCCCAAACAGCCGTACAGACAAGATGAAGCATCTGCGACTGCGAAGAATGCGCATGCAAACACCAGACATAATCAATGCTTTGTCATCTAGCATCAAACAGGCAGAGAAAGAGTTCTTACTTTAACCGAGCGGAGTGTGTTAAAGAGTCCCAGAGTCCCAGGCAGACGAAGTGTTAAGAAGGTATATATTGCAATCTCTGATAGCCTTCTAAATCCTCCACTTTCTCTTTATGGAAGTGGATTACTGGTCAAACCAATGAGCTGGCAAGGTCATGAAATACAGTACAGTGTCATCTGCCCCCTTCCTCGGCTCGCCTCATTATAAATAACCCGCCCTTTAAGATTGTTATCTGTATTATCTTGTGCCATCAAGCTCCTGACGGACAGAATGCAGGAAAGTGATTAAACCATGCAGGCATTTTGTAATCAATGGTTAATATATAAATATATATGTATAGACAGATGGAAATGAATTAGAGGTTTGATTTATTATGTATATAAATAGTAGGTAAACACTCACTGCAGGAAATATGTGTCTCTATGTTGATTAAAGATGCAACAAAGACTAATTAATAAGAACAAAAAGGGATTTATATGTTAGTTAATTTACAGAAATTTGAGTTTTCAACCAGACTTAAAGCTGCAGTAGGTAACTTTTCTAAAAATAACTTTTTGTTATATTTGCTGAAGCTTTCATTATATCCCGACAGAAGAACATGAGACAGATCATCTGTGAAATAATCAGGTTCCTCTGGCTTCTCCTAGTGCCCCTAATGGTATCTGTAAGAATCCACCGGGCCCGAACGACAACAACCAATCAGAGCAGGGAAAGACAGAAATACGCTTCAGGTTGGTGGATTTAAGATAGTTGATGTTTGAGTCTCATTCCCAGAATTATTATTTGACAATCTGAGACTCAGAAATCAACTTTCTTTTTCTGCTCTGATTGGTTGTTTTCATTCGGGACCGATGGATTCTTACAAATACCATTAGGGGCACTAGAACCTGATTATTTTACAGATTACTTTACGTGTTCGGCACGCAGATGTTTAACACCACCGACAACCTCTGTAGTCTCATTTAGCCGCTTGTTGGCAACCGCCCTTTTTTAAGACATGTTAAAGCTTCAAAATCCCACAATTTAGTATTTACTGACAAATTTTATGTCGTAGAATAGAGTGTGATAAACTCACGTCAACCTCAGTCCGCTGACTTCAAGATGAAGTCCATGAGGTGCTTAAATGTTTGAGTCTGATGACAGTTAATCATAACTCAACATTTTACCTTGATATTTTTTACTTCTGATGTAAAACGAACCTTCAACAATATCAGATAAAAATCAATAACTCAGATTTTGTCGTCTATATTAAAATGGCCAATCAAAGAACCCTTTTTCTTTACATTCAGATTAAATGAAAGTTGAACTCACTTTGTGTCGTTGCAGGAAGATACTCAGATTAAAACCTGAAATGTAAAAAATAAAACTGTCGGACAAAACAGAAGGCTCTCATAGATGTAAACTTAATTAGTGTATATAAGGTTTATAACAAATTATAATGTAGTTATAAGCGACGATATAAAAGACATTTGTGTTTACAAGTGTGTTAACAACAAGTGGTCAACAATTTTAATTTCTAATATTTTATATTATTTCAGGTGTGTTTTACTATATTTCAAATTCATTATGTGGTGCCCACAAGAGTTAAAGCATGTTAGAAACCATTTGTCACACTCTTATATACTTATAAATGCTAAAATGGGGGGTTAAAGTAAATTGTTACCACATACACATTTAAGATTTAAGAAATCAACTAAAACAACATATTAAAATAATAAATTATTCAAGAAAAATAATTAACTTACCTATTTTCTTTCTGGATGAACTGGATGAATTCTACTCACAAAAAGAGATTTGTGATTCGATTTGAAACCAAATGTCACCAGTCAGAAGATAAACGGAGTTAATTTATGGTGAGAAATTCTTTGGGTTCATATTTCTCACCGTAAACTTCCACCTCTGTCGCTGATGTGTCCGACACCATTAAGGGTTTTTACACATCATAAAACGGCAACAACCATGAAACAAAACTCAGTTTGAAGCTCTGTGTTTATGTTCACTGCTTTTCTCCCACAAGCGTAAGAGAGGCATTCATTTACAGTTTCTATAACCTGTTTCAACCCAGGTCGTCTGCCTTTATTGGTCTGTTTTACTGCTAAATGGCGGACCATCAGCTTACTAAATGAACATCATGCTGTATTGGAAGAAGATGAAAACTAGAGACTGAGACCATAAACTCAATCAGGAAACTGTTACTGAGCTCATAAATTAACTGAGAAGTTGACTAATTTCTCCATAAGACTCAATACTATCTGATATTTATTGCAGCCAGTGGAGCTGCTCCCTGCTGGCCATTAAACACTCTGTTATATATATGACATAGTGTGAAACTGTAGCAGTTGGGTTAAAATAAGTTTTAACGCTGCAGGTCACTTGACACACGTTATGTAACTTAAGTAACTTTAAACTTTAAATATGAAAATTGGAAGTCACTAATTCAGAGCTATTAAGGTGATAGATTTAAAATATTGCTGTAATATGTTCAGTATTTATAGTATTTTTGCAGTTTTTTAACACGAAAATGCGTAAATCCAAGTAAGCAGGACAAAATGGCTCCTTCAGCAGGTGTTGCTTGTTTATTCGGTTTCTACAGCTTACAGTTTAAAAAACGTATTTGTGCTATCTAAGCGGTTTTCCGGATAAACCAGTTAATGAAAAAACAGGAACTGATAATATATCCGGTAGAGCAGATGCAGTTTTTTGGGGGGGCTGATGGGACATTGATTTAAGCCTCGCCTTCAAACATCTTCTTCCTCCCGTCCATGCCGGCTTTGTCTTCAATGTTTTTACGCCAGTCACCAATGTCACGCAGTTCCTTATCCTGAAACACCAAGACGGGCAAAAATCAGAGCTAGCAACAGCTAACGATAAAGGTAGCTAGGGTATGTTATGTTTATATACTTTAATATACTTTTTAAATCTTGTACAGGTGAAGCAAAATATATTATAAAATATAAATCGCCAAAGAGAATGAATCTAGACATTACGAGGGTCTTCTTGGTTTGGGTTAGAGTGAAAATACGAGGGTACGATAATCGGAGTAATTGAATTACCGCACATAAAGTTAATTAGTTACTAAGTAAAGTTTGTTTTCAATGTCTCTTATTAATGCTCACAGCTGTCATATATATTATATTTTATTTGTATTTGTTGCTGTGGGACAAATATATATAGTTATAAATCTCCCGACCACCAGAGGGCAACAATGAGTAGCGTAGTAGCGTAGTAGTAACGAGACAATTTAAATTGTAATTGTGTTATTTAATTTGAAAAATGTATTTGTTACAACAGTACTTTTTTACTAGGTATTTTGTTTTCAAAGTTCAAATAAAAATGACAAAATTAAGTTAGTTTTAACTTGAAATGTTACATTTTTCAACAATTGTTCGAGTTAAATCACTTTTCAGAAACTATGTTTAGGTTATTTCATTTTTAAAAAGTAATTTGTTGCAACAGTAGTTACAGCCAAAAGTAGTGTAATTACAGTTACATGTTACTTTATAACACGCTACTCCCAACAGTGACCATGACTTCGCCATCCTGGGGAGAAAAAAACTGGCAAACTGATGGGAAGCAGCAGAGCTAATAAATGATGTGATATCGGATTGTACTTGAACGCACCGATACCTGATCCTGCATTTCAGGCAGTTTCATCCAAAACATCCACAAACCGGCCGGTTCCTCACCTCCTCTTTCACCTCCTTCTTGACCTGCTTCAGGTTGGCCCTCAGTTCCATGTTGACGGTGTGTTTGGAGCCCAGCAGAGCCTTCAGCATGGCGTCGGCGGACATACGCACTTTCCTCAGGACGGGCTTCTTGAACTTGCCCATCAGGTCCTGTACTTTGATCTTCAGGTCGTCAATCTGGAATGTGGAGATGAAACCGATTCTGAATTTACTACAAAACATACACCAGGCAAAATACCACCATTGAATACTGAAGTTTCTCAATTTTCTTTTGATGTTTAAGTGTTTATTTTACTGATAAGTTTTGTTTTAATTAGTTATTTGAAGACATACTCTAATGCCATAAGTTATTTTAACTCAAAAACATGTTTGAAACTAATTAAATCCAAAATTTTAAGTCTTAAAATATTCTTGATTAAGCAGCTGTTACTAGTAATTTTAAGTGACACTAACTTAGTTTTGTAAGTTACAGAAACATTCCTGGTTAAGTAGTTTTTACTAGATATTTTGTTTTTACAGTAAGTCAGTGTCACTTAAACCTACTAAAACTACTTGGTCAAGAACTTACAAAATTAAGTTAGTTTTACTAAAAAATGTTAGTTTCAATTATTTTAGTAATTTAGTTAACTTATCTGGTTTTACAGTGTATAAAAAAGGACCCCTGCTCTCGATTGAGTCGACTGGGTATATCGATCAGTAAAAGACACACTGCAGGAGTTAAAATAAATTAATATAATCTACCTCTTTGTTGGCTTTGTTGACTTTGTTCTCCAGGTCGTATCGCTCCTCGTCAATCACGTCGATCTTGTGGTGGATCTCGCGGCACAGCTCCTGAACACAAACGTCGGCAAATTTGTCACAATACCAAAGTGATGCACTGTGGACCCGAAATACTTCGTCACAATATCAAATACATGTAAATTAAAACTTAGTTTGTGTACTTTGAACCCTATGTAACTTTAGCATTAGCGTTTTCAGGCAATAAGAAAGACGTAAGATTTAAATTTGTTATATATTCCTATAAATTATATTTTATAATAATACGCATAATAATAAATATAATTTATAATAATACATTTTCTGAGGTCCCCCTGGCGGCCCCACTTTGAGAGAGAGCACTGCATTATGAGACATACCTGCAGCTCCTGCATGCTCCTGGGCATGGACACGGGAGGACAGTTCTCATCCATGTACCTTGTCCTCTCCTCCTCTTGCTCCCTCTCTTCGTCCTCCAGTAAACCTTTGGCGATCGACAGCATCAAACTCTGCCAGACAACAGACACGTAACATCAGGTGTGGATGGACGGTGGGTGTTTTGACTCTCAGCAGCAAGAAGGTATTTCTTACCTTCAGGTGATGCTTGCGACTCGACGACATCTTTTTCCTGAAGGGTTTGAGAAAACATCAGTTTGTTATGATGGATCTCTGGTTTTATATTCATGACTAAACCAATAAACAAGTCCTAAAATCAATAATGTTTATTGGAAACATTAAAAAGAAAAAACGTCTAGCAGTTCTTTTGACATTAACACTTGGCCTCAATACTAAACCAAATGAGAAGATTTCTTTTTTCAGTTATTATATGTGCACAAATCTTGTTTCTGTAACACTTCTACATATGAAGAGTCCTGTTTTACATAAAATATACGATACTTCTGATTAGATAATATACAATAGTTTAGGGTTTCCCCCCTAAAAGTCGACTTAACCGCTCGTCGATGAAAAGAGTCGTAGTTGGCGCACTTTTCATTAGTCGAACAGTCGCAGAAAACCAAACACAAACTCGATTTATGCTAACTGCACTAGCTGCTGCCACTAGTTAGCGTTCCTATTAGCTGTCTGTTCCCAGACTGGAAGCTCGGAGGACAGGGGGAGTTACGCTCTTACTAGCGTAAGAGTGGGTGGACCCGGTGGGGAATAGCGGCTCCGACCAGGACTCTGACTCTGGGGATGAAGACACGGTGGGTTCAGGCAGCGACAGGAGAGGAACGAAACCAGTTAATTTATCAGTAACTGTTAACGTTATCCATCAATTATCGTATCGATCAGTCCACCAGGATTTGTTTCAGTGAAGTTTGAAGTTATTTATTCCGTGTGTTGAACAACCAGACTGTTAATATTTAAATCATTAAATGAATATCAATAACATGTAGTGACTAGTCGACTAAAATCTCTTTAGCCCTAAAGTTTAACTTCCAAAATAAAATGAACATACAGATGAATGAGTATTACTCACTCTGACATCTTGGCGTTTTGTTTGGCTTCAAACCTGCAGAAAAACATTTTTCATTTTGAAATAGTCAAAGGATTAGCACTAAGACACATGGATAATGGTTGTCAAGTGGCTATTAATCAGAAAAAACAACAACAAGCCATTATGTGTGGGATGCACAGCGAACAGGAAACAATGTGAAGGTGGGGTGAGGAGGATCAGGACTGGAATGCCTCTGCCGGGTCTTTCCGAAATAATAACTCCACTTAGAGGAAACATGACACCAACTGGGAGCATCAGATGTTTGCCTTGAGGAAAAGTCCAGTCTAAATTCGGACAAGGATCTAGTGGTCCAGTTGTCCCCCCCTGGGCATCCCTCTTATAAAAGGTCTGTCTTCTGGAAGATTATCAGGAAACACTTGATACCTTCTCTGTTGGTACAAACATCTCTGACGTGACTGAGACGATATCCATCTCCTCTGAAAATAGAGACCTCGCAGAACAATCCAGATCAACAAACGCTGCCTCCAAACGGAGAACAGAGGACGAAAGGCTCCTCCGATGTTTGATAAAAATGTATAAGAAGACGTCAGAACAATGGTTTCTCCAATGGGACGTAGAGTTGTGAATGCATTGTCAGAATCTAGATTATTAATAGAATAAAGAACAAAAAACGGACCAGAAATTGATTCATATAACCGACACTGAAGAATCAGTTCCTAACCACAGCAGTTGAACTGACCAGTGTTGGGCAATAAGACGTTAATAATATTACAAAAACAATATAACTTTCCCATTAACTAGTAATGTAACTAATTACTAATAAATGTCAGTAATATATTACAGTTACCACCACAAAAATAATTAGCTACAATGTTACTTTTGGTGTCTCCAATCACATACAGGGATTCATTTTTGTAATCTTGGAGGAAACTATTTTGGATACTGGAAACAAAAACAACTGGATATTAATCGTCGTAAGTCTGAATTTTGGTGAGAAATTACCAATTTTGTGTGGAGTAACAGAATTGTAATATAAGTAGTAGTGTAACTAATTACTGTTGGCAGGAATGTCAAGCAGATCCAGTTTTACAAATGACAACTTGAATTATACACAACAACTTTAAAGCAGCAACAAGGAGCTTTCATTTCGTGTCGATTCTGGCGCCCCCTGTGGACAAAAGCGATAGTGTTTCCACTGCCTTGATTTGTTGATTTAAAGGGGAATCTGACCCAATCTTCTCGCACATATGGTGAAATCATTGTTAAATTGAAAACTGTTTCATAACCAGTTAAAACATATTAATAAAATATTAAAAATATAAAATAATATTCTTTATTTATCATTATATATTTAGGTTTTGCTGCTAAGACATAAACACCTAATTAAAACCATCAATTTAAAATAGAGTATAATCAGCATAAAGATCTTTTTTATCACATGTTAAAAAGGTGACTTTTTTACATGTGAAATCTCTCCTTGTCACAATTCTTTGGCAATAAACATAATAACTTTATAATTGTAGCACACTGCAAATATAATGTACATATGTTCATATTTTTTATATTTATTGTTGTATATTGTAATATAATGCACGTATTCTTAGTTCTATACTTATAACGTCTTGTTTAGCCCCTTGAGCAACTGTAACGCAACCAACTTCCCCCAAGGGATCAATAAAGTATTTTCTCATTCTGATAATGATTTCTGAGAAGTCCTTAGTCAAATTAAGTTTTCAATCGTCAGACTCAAAAAGAAATTCGGGGCTACTAAAAAATATGTTTCTCCTTCAAATACAAAATGGATTAAAGAGATGTTTTATTGGATTAAAATATTGGTGGAGGGTCCAAATTATGTAAAAAATATATAAATTTATTCTTGAAACGACATGTAGATCCTAACTAAATTCACATTATAAACCATTTATGTTTATGTAAAATAACTGAACTAGAACATGCTGCAAACTATGCCAATAATTTGTACCTTTTTTATGTTCTTGGACTCTTTTACTGAATCAAACATGAAGCCAATAAACCACCCGATCAGACTGACACATTAAATCTATTCTGTCTGTGCTGACACAGCGATAAACACCGGGACTATCACTTTACATTCACACACCCCATCACCGCTTCACCCCCAAAAACAAACCACATTAACATCCAAAAACTCCTCAACCGACATCATCGCCTTCACCATCCTGCAGCTCAAAAACTCTTATTTACTGAACTGCATAAAGCTTTGTATGTGAGTCAACAGAGAGGAAAGATCTCTCACCTTGCAGTCGAAGACGGGAAACCGGACGGAGCGGCAAGATTTTGGTAAGCAGCTCAGTTTTGGCATTATAAGTTGGTATATATTGCATTCCCCGATCGCAAAGGAAACCCCATCTTTTCTCTTTATGGAAGTAGATTTTCTCACAGACCAATGGGGATCCCCGGCACATGAAACATTATATCTGACCCCCCTTTTACCCCTCAAATCTCCTCCCTATCTGATAATTATAAATAACCCTTTCCTTCTGGATTGTTTCACTGATTGCATTATTCGCCCCTCCTCCTCCTTTCAGGACTCCCTGAAACCCCAAAAAGGAAGCTGCTCGTGAGTTTGGAGGTGAAAAGCAGGAAAAGCAGAGTCAGAATCACCCACATATGAGTCAATGAACATTATTATCACGTATGAAGTGTATGAAACGAGGCCGGACTCGATGAAGGAAACCGGGGAGCAGCGGTGATGAAAGTTGAAGGGACAGCAGGTGGGAGGGCAGAAAAAAACTCACAGCAGAGGTTCAAGACTCAAGTTGTTATTTAAGAGACGCTAAGTGGTTGTTATTAAGAAGCTGTTAACAGGAGATCAGCCAGAGTAGAAACGTGAGAGAAAAACCCTGTAAAGGTCCTGGTGATAGTTTGGTTTACATGCCCCTAAACTGTTTTAACTTGCTAATACATAGAATATATAGATATTAAAGTGTTTGTTTTAACTTATAAAATTAAGTTGGTGTTACTTAAATTTTCAATGTGATCAGTTTCAACAATATTTTTAAGTTAAATTAACTAAATCTGTAATTCAAAATGTTATTTTAACAAAAAAAAACATTGAAACGGATTAAAATCGAACATTTTAAGTAACACAAACTTAACTTTGTAAATTAAAGATTCTTGATTAAGCAGCTTTTACTGGATATTTTGTTTTAACAGAACAAATAAAAATTACAAAATTAAGTCAGTGACATTTAAAATTACTAAATCTACTTAGTCAAGAATTTTTTAACTTATAAAATTCAGTTATTTTAACCTGAAATGTTCAATGTAATCAGTTTCAAGAATAAGTTAAATAAGAAAGTAGAAACTTTCTACTCTTTAATTCAAAATAACAGCCATATTGTACATAGTCTATTATTGTATTTATATTTTTCATGTTATTGTTAATTTTCTATTTTTCTTTTATTGCTTCTTGACTTGCAGTATTTGTTCCCCTCATTCAATAAAACTGACCGTTCATTACGTTTCAGCATCTGTGACTGAAGAATAATTAAAATATTTAAATGATATGTATCAGCTGTAAGATGGATGCTGTATTATAGTCATTACGGGTGGTTGCTACATGGTTTTTATTGTGTTTTGGGGGGGAATTGCTTGGTTTTATGTGCTAGCTGCTAGCTGCGAGTTGTAATACAGATTGTTTTTACAACCCTGCTCAGGATTAAATCCATAAAGTCTAGTCCCAGAGATGTGCTGAGAGGCTGCGACCAAAATAAAAAGAATAGACGTCACCTAATGAAGTGGACGGCAAATAATAGCTATGACAGATGAGCAGAATTCCAGGACCAGTACGCAAGTAAGTCGTTCCCTAACTGACTTAATATGTAAAAGCAAACCTCTCTCTGCTTCATAAGGAACTTTAAACATTTCTATAATTTAAACAAGGTGAGTTGTCATGAACTTGGAAATCAGTCATATGGACCAAAACCACTTTTTGTACCAGACTGTAAACATG